AAAATCTAAAGCATGTAAAATATGGGATTGCAAAGTAAGTCTCATTAGAACAGGAAAAAAAGTTATTTTGTTGGACTAACACAAAGAGATTTTTCCCCACAACACGCGCCTGTGATTTTTACGAGCCCATAAAGCGCAGCCAGTTACCTGTCGGCCACGGTGAGCACGCTGACCGCCTCCTTCTGCAGGTGGACCAGCTTGCAGGGCCTGATGCAGGGGCCGTCGGCAGAGCCCGAGGCCGGCGCGGCGCGGCGCTGGATGTCCCAGACCACCAGCTTCCCCTCCAGCGTTGCCGAGAGGATCTGACTGGAGTTCGGGTGGAAGACGGATTGACTGAACTTCCCCACCAGCTTGTTGAACGTCTGCGCTTCAAGAGATGGGGTATGCGTTAGCAGGAGGGGCAAGTACACGAGCACGGCCGTCCTGCAGCGACACTGGAGCAGTGAGGCGGAAGAGAAGGGCAAAAACAGAGTCACAGAAAGACTGTCTCTCCTGGGCAGGCACGCTCCAGGCAGTCCCGGCAGCCCCTCTGCGGCTTGCTAGGCGAAGGGAAGGGTCAGGCCTGTGTTCAGCTAGCTGTCTTTGTTAGGTTATGTCATGTTATGTCATGTCATTGGACACTGGGTCTCGCCATGTGGTTCAGGCTGGCCTCAAACTCACTATGCAGGTCTCGCCCTGGTGGTGATCCTCCTTCCTGCCTCAGCCCCCCAGTGCTGGCGGTACAGGTGTGCGCCACCACCACATCTGGCAACGGTCTGTTTATAGCAAGGGACAGAGCAGTTAGTCACTGATTATACCCAGCCAATCCTTCCTTAAATCCATTTCAGAGACTGATAAAGAAACTGGCGTCTGTCTACCCAGCTATGAAAGCTATTGCTGTAATCTCAGCACTCGGGAGGCTGAGGCAGGAGGGCTGCTGCGAGTTTGAGGCCAGCCTGGACTGCATAGTGAGTTCAAGGGCAGCGTGAGCTACGTAGGGAGACCCTGTTTAAACAGCTACAACAAGAGAACCAGCTTCCTATAAATTTTTGTTGTTTTGAGACAGTCTCTCTACATAGCCCAGGCTGGCATCAAACTCAAAGTGATCCTCCTGTCGCAGCCTTGAGAGTACAGGGCTTCCAGGCATGCCCCACCGTGCCAGCTCCCTATGCAGCCTTAAACATCTAAATATTCTATATTGGTTCTTATTATTCTGAAACTGAGCCATTGACAAGGCTCACAGCACTTCGAATTCCCTCTCCCTCTATCAGGATGCACGTAGCCACGATAGAAACCACCACTTGGGGGAACATTTTCTCAGAATAGTGGCCTTTTTCTCTAGAACATTTTATCTTAATAATACTCCCATTATTTTCCACTGACAATTCAGCATGGATAAAGAACCCAAGTAAAATTCTTCAAATTATTTCCTTGTGGCTTAACACTAAGACATACGAAGCACGGCCCCCAACAGCTAAGCTTGCATGTATCTGTTTATTCTGCACAAACCCCGACGTATAAAATGCAACAGGAATACTCACATTTTCTGTCAAGAGCGGGGCGCTGTGAACAAGTATGTCTTTCTCCTCATGCTGATAAGCACAGAAAAAAAAAAGTCACTACTGAAAAACCCTGGTTTTTCAGAGAACCACATAAAAGAAAAATAAAACATATCTAAATAAGGTCAGAAGGTTATAATTTCTACCAGTAAGAAAACTTTCTATCGTGGGCAATAGCTGAAAACATTCTGAAAGAGAAGGAAATATGAAGGGCCAGCAAGATAGCTCAGTGGACTAAGCGCCTGCTTAGGCAAGCACAGGGACTGGGGTTCGATCCCAGCACCACATGCTGCACCGGCCCTACCCTAACCTGGGCAACTTAGACATGCGGCGTGGTCCTGTTTCAAAGTAAAAAACTTAAGAGGAAAAAGGATTTTTTTTAAAGGCTGGGGGAGGAGGTCAGTGACGTTTGTTGGCACTGTAAGGCCCTAGATTTGGTCATCAGGACCCTAAATCAAGCCACAAATGACTGACTTTCAACGCTGATTAATATGAATCTCAATTCCACATTAAAATTAAAATAAATACTGGAAACAGTATACATCACTGATGACAGTGACTCAGGGAGTGTGCGTCTGTGCAGGGGTGTGTGTGTGTGTGTGTGTGTGTGTACACGCACATGGGTGTCTATGTTAAGGATGGGACCCAGGGCCTCATATATGCTAGGCAAGTGCTCTGTCACTGAGCTCCTCCCAGCCCTTTTGAGAGAGGGTCTCACTAGGTTTCCAGGGCTGGCCTCACACTTGTCATCCTCCTGCCTCAGCCTCCTAAGTAACTTTTTTTAAAAGTTGAGGTGAAATGCATTACACACACACACACACACACACACACACACA